GGGTGCTAGGAGATTCTGCAAAATATATGTCATTCTTTTATTCACAAGTGATGAGCAAAAGTTCAACTATTCCAATGGCCAGAACCAAAACATTTTGCAGAAGGTGACAGATCTATCATTTTTTTAAAATGTTGGGAGTGGGGGTTGACACGATGGGACCTTAGGGAGTCCCTCTGAACTCCCACAGGTCGGCAAGAACTGGGTTTTCAGTGAAGCCAGCAATCCAAAGCCCAGCAGGGAGAAGTCCACCTTACAGGTGGACAACATCCGTCCAAAGCATGTTAAAGGGCAGAGGGGATGGCTGCTTAGGACTTCCACTAGCAACGAATGGCTTTAGGTTTCATGTTGGTCACTTGATATGTTACTCTTAACCATGTCTGTGAACTCGCAAGGGTCTGGTGGCGACCCACAACTGCTGCCGCCCTCCCTGCCAGGCAGCCCTGCTGGCTGTGGACGGTCATGTGCTAATCTTCCCAACCTGCATGCTCTCACCAGTCCCCAGTGGGTGATGCCCTGCTTGGTTGCTGTCCCCACTACAGCCACAAAGACACAGTCCCTATCCCTGATGCTTCTGCTCCCGACCCCTGCACGAGCCAGGCTGCGGTGCCCAGCGTGGCCTGCTGCAACTCGTTTCCAGGGGAACGGAATTCAACACCTTTCCATGGCATTCACCCCCGCTGGATGCGTGGAGACCCAGGCACGACCCACAGGGCCAGCTTTCAAGAGTCTGTTGCTATGCACTGCCACCAGAAGCGGTCTCAGGACTGAAACTCGCAGCAAAAGAAACCACATGGCTGGGACCAGAAGCCCATCTAGAAGCGGGTCTCAGTTCCCGGGTGTCGAGGACGAGATCGCTGGACACCGACCCACTCACCCACACACATCCAGCACGGAGAGATGGTGGGTCTTCTGGTGTTGTTTCTAGGTTATTTTCTGTTCTCAGTGAAGTAAGTATTTATTGTGATACTGAAGTACTGGGAAATGAACACTGACCAACCTAAAGACGTTTAAAAACAGAGTCTTCATGATAACAGACCACAGTTTTCATCAGAATGTTTTTATGTCACAATCAGCGAACTGTTGCACTAATATAGTCGACAGCCGTGAAGATATAAAAAAGGTTCCTCTTCAAGGTGTGAGATGTGGTAGAAAAATACATCTTTTCCACATACAAAAGAGAGAAAACTGAAGAGATGGCGGAAGGCCCAATACCCTGCAAGCTTCCATGGAATGGAGAAAGGAAAAAATCCCCGACTACTTGGGGTTAAGAATATGCCCAAGCCGGGCTCGGTGGCTCAGCCTGTAATCCCGTGCCTTTGGGAGGGTGAGTGAACTGCCTCAGCCTGCGGGTTCGAGACCCACCTGGGCAACTTGGCGAGACCTCATCTCTACAACAAAAAACAAATAAATGCCGGGCTCGGTGGCTCAGCCTGTAATCCCGCGCCTTTGGGAGGCTGAGGTGAGCGGATTGCTTGAGCCCGCGGGTTCGAGACCCGCCTGGGCAACTTGGTGAGACCTCATCTCTACAATAAATCAAAAATCAGCCAGGCGTGGTAGCACGCGCCTGTAGTTCCAGCTACTTGGAAGGCTGAGGCGGAAGGATCACCGGAGCCCAGCAGGTTGAGGCTGCGGTGGCTGGGAGCGGCCACTGCACTCCAGTCTGGGTGACAGAGTGAGACTCCAACTCAAAAAAAAGAAAAAAAAGAATATGCCCAAACAAAAGTGAAATTTATGCATCAAAAACCAAGAGATTTTCAAATCTGGCCCTAGGATTTCTATCAAAATTTCCAATCGTGTTCTACCCTCAAAAGACCCTCAGATGACCACAGATGCTTTCATTAAAAATGAAGGTGGCAGCCGGGCTCGGAGGCTCAGCCTGTAATCCTGTGCCTTTGGGAGGCTGAGGTGAGTGGATTGCCTGAGCCCGTGAGTTCGAGACCCGCCTGGGCAGCAAGACCTCATCTCTACAATAAATCAAAAAATCAGCCGGGCGTGGTAGCGCCTGCCTGTAGTTCCGGCTACTTGGAAGGCTGAGGCGGAAGGATCTCCGGAGCCCAGCAGGTCGAGGCTCCGACCTGGGCGACAGAGTGAGACTCCAACTCAAAAAAAAAAAAAAAAAAGAAGGTGGCTGGGCACCGTGGCTCATGCCTGTAATCCCAGCACTTTGGGAGGCTGAGGGAGGATCGCTTGAGCCCAGGAGTTTGAGACCAGCCTGGGCAACATAGCGAGCTCTCCTCTCTACAAAAAATAAAAAATAAATTAGCTGCATGTGGTGGCATGTACCTGTAGTCCCAGCTACTCGGGAGGCTGAAGAGGGGCAGATCGCCTGAGCCCAGGAGGTCAAGGCTGTGGTGAGCCATGATTGCGTCACTGAACTCTAGCCTGGGCAACAGTGAGATCCTGTCTCAAGAGGAAAAAGAAAAAAGAAGACATCTTTCACTCGAGCATATCAAGCTACAAAAACTGACTTAAGAACCTACATTTAGCCCAATTGGAAAGAAACAGCGCAGAGCTTCGATGGCAATTTTCAACTGACACTCGAGGTCTCGATCCGCTGCCCCCAGATACACATACCTCCCTCCATTTACTGGGCGTTAAAATGATGATCCCATCAAGAGCTCAGGGGAACACAGGGCCCATCGTGCCTCAGGAATGAGCAGAGAGGACAGAAGGAGTGAGGGTCACAGTCGGCCCAACGACAGTGTAAGACTTAACACTTGGGCATCTTACAGGACCACAGAGGAGGAGCCAAGGCAGGGCCAGGAGCCACTGGCTTTGTACACAGAATGCCAGTGCCTCCCTGGGCAGGATAGACAAAGCCAGGTTTTCCAGCCTAAACCGGAAACAGTCAAACACCCTAAAAGCAATGGCAATAACCTCCCCGGTCAGTTACACCCTGTGCTGAAACAGTCACGTGGAGTATCCAAATGACAACACTGGGACGATTGCAGCCCAGATGTCAGGTGTTCGAATGGAGCAAATTTTGGAAAGTGATTTGAACCCAGGATTTTGGGTCCCATGATATGCACCTTAAACACAGAAATTTAGGCCAGGTGCGCTACTTGGAAGGCTGAGATGGAAGGATCGGCCTGAGCCCAGAAAGTCGTGGGTGTGGTGGCCATGAGCATGCCACTGTACTCTAGCCTGGGC